ATTTTCAGCCCGAGGCCTATGTGAGTACAGTTTCCTTAAAATAGATTCGTCCACTCATCGTAAGTGCTTAAGGTCTAATTCGAGCGTCTGTTTTTCAGAATACAACGGTAAAACTTGTAGAATGTGAGCACCACAGATACTATTTTGACGATCTGATACAACGTCTAAACAATATCACCACGACCTTACTGGACAAATATGCGTATGCAAGAAGAATTGAAAATAGTACAGATGCAGTGAGGAAGATGACGATTTTCTCATCTGTGAAAATTGCTGGAAGCTGAGTTTAATTAAATAGACTTAATCTATCTATTAATCATTGGAGTTACATCAGTTTCCACAGTTTCAGAAACTCAAGAGTCAGTGGAAAAAGTAAGGAAAATGGGCCAATTTTTGCTCCGTTCGGTTCGACATTAATGTACGCAGGTCGCGCCCGCATATAAGCTCAAGGTCCGAAGGCAATTTCGGTCCGTGATTTGCACCCCCTGTGTGCGCAAGTGGAGAGAGCCTTTATGCTACGCATGATTACACCCTTCCAATGTGCAACCATATTTAAAGTGGTTTTTGCTTTCATATTTTTCCTATGTGGGACACACATTTTTTCCACATAAATCATCTTCCAATGTCATCTTCGAGCTCCAATTTCTCATTCATCCATTCATCAGTTTTGGCAAATAAATATATGATTTTGATGCTCTCACGAAGGAGAACACGAATTAATTTTGATCTTCCAAATTGGACCAACAGGTCCCATAAAAAATCTTGCCAAAAGTGAGCTATTTACTTATTTTTTCCAACACCTACAATATAGAAAAGAACGCGGGTGGAAAGAAATGCCTGGAAGGAAAGAAAAATATAAAGTCTGTTGTGGTGTATTTATTATAATCTAGAATTCTTCTTTTATATTAAAAATTAGGTATGTAATTGTAAATTTGTTGTAGTGTATTTATTAAAACTATGTTTTAATTGTGGTGTGAATATAATGTGGCACATTTAATAAAATTTTGTGATGTTAATTTAATTGTCGAATTGATTGTTTATTGGGTCATTAAGCTTAGGTACATATCTTTTATTTGTCATTGAAATTTAAAATGTTGAATTTTGATTATTGAACTTAAATCCTTATCTTCGATTGCTCATTAATATTTAAAATATCGAGTTTTGACCACTAAATTTTGAAAAATGTTATATGTTATTCACTAGCATAAATGCCGAATTTTGAAAAATGTCGAGTTTATAGTGAGTAATGCACAACATTTTTCAAAATTCATGGGCCAAAACTCGACATTTTAAGTTTCAGTGAGTACTCGTAGACGTAAATCTAAGTTCAGTGATCAAAACTCGACATTTAAAACTTTAAGACTAGTTAAAGACATGAACCTTAGTTAAGTAAATATTAAAACAATTAACTCATGATTATTCTACTAAAAATTGTGATGCATTTAATAAAATTCGTAATGATAATATAAATAGGGAACACTACATAAATCTTCCATTTAAATATTACATTTCAAAACTAACAAACTTCTAAAAATCTCTCAAAAATCATGTGATAATTAAATTTATTAAATATTTAATTATAATATAGTATAATTAACCTAATTACCCAACCCCACCTCCAACCTACCAACCCATCACATCAAACCCTTCTCTTTCTCTCTCTCTATCCCACCTTGCCTTCGACAACAATTTTGGCGACCTATCCAAAATCGACGACTGCTCTGACAATAATTTCGGCGACCTCCCGATGATGGCTCTGACGACTGTTTCGGCTACTATTCCTGTGACCGCTCACCTTTCTGATGACTACCTTTTTTCTTTTTTATTCTTTTTTGCTAATAACATATGACCAATTCCATTAAATTTGTGACTTGTGCACATTGTGATCTGTAATCAGTTCTATTGAATCTGTAACTTAATCTAGTGGGATGATATGCATACGATCAATTTCAAAATTAAGAAATAAAGTTTGAAATTTCAAAAATCAAATACTATTAAAATTTTAGTTATGAAACAGTTAAACAAAAAAATATATTTGTAATTAAATATATTAAATACACAAATCTTTTTTCTAGACAATAACACGTTATCTGTGTACATTATGACATATAAAATATGATATATAATCTATGATTTGTTATCGTGATTCGTAACATAAAATGTGATCTAGAAATTTGATCTATGACCTGTAAATTTGATCCGTAATTTGTTACTGTTTATGATCAGATCTATGTTATTTGTGACTAACAGTGTCCAAATTTGTATCCAATGTGACTATTTGTGATCAAGTCAATCTAATTTGTGACTATATGTGACTAAGTCACAATTAATTTGGTCACGTACAATGACTTCGTCACAACCAGTCACAACTAAGATGAATTTGGCCACAAACAATCACTATGAAAATAGACTCTGTCATAATCAGTCACAATTAACACAAACTTGGTCACAAAAAGTCACAAATAACGTATAAAATTTTCTTCAGTGTGATTGTTTATGATTGTACGCAACCAAGTCATTTATGTGTGTTATCTTTGACTAACCGTGATCAAAGTTTTCTTCAGTATGATTAACTGTGACTGAATTTGTCATCAATATTATTATATGTGATTAGGTCAATTTTAACCATGACAGTATATGATCAAGTCACAATAGGTTACAACTAGTCATAATAAACGCATACTTGGTCACAAAGCGTTACGATAAATAAATATGCACACACTGTATACCAACACAACATTCCACCTCTAGTCACCACCACCATCACCTCCATTGCACCACTAATACGATCTTCAACTCAAATTCACGACCATAAATACTACCTTCGCTAACCTATGTTATCGTGACTAACTATGGTCAAATTTGTCTTCAATGTAATTGTCTGTGACCACATTAGTCTAATTTTTGACTATATGTAATCAAGTTGCACACAATAGCAGATCTGCCACAAACAGTCACATTAAAAATAGAATTGGCCACACCTTGTTGCTGTTACCACCACCACTCCTAATACCATCAAAAACCAAACACATACCTCCTCACCACAACCTCACCATCACAAAATACAAATTATAGGTCACAATTACAAAACTAATCACAAAACCACACATTTTTAAGTCATATATTATATATTGACTATAATTTATGCATTTTATTAGTCACACTTATCCAATTGTTCGTCTCAATTTCTCTTAATTTGATCTATTCGATCCCACCACCATCGATACCAAAAAAAAAAAAAAAAATACAGATGTCATCTCACCACCCATCCAAACGCACCATACATTAATCACCACCACAACCCATAATCATCACCTCAACAATATCACTAACTACATCTGATGGACGAACTAGGCATCAAAATTCAGGTACTAAGAATCACATTTTCCAAGAAGCATTTTAAAATTATAGGTACTAAAAATAGGGTTTTAAAATTATCCTCTGATTAGATCGATAGTGAAAAGCATAGGCGTGTTGGGCTTCTGTGTCCTTGTTGGTGTTAGTCCTTGGGTAGACCTACTAGGAATGATAGCTGGCTGTGCCTATTATTTTTCTTGAAGATGTAGGTGTTTTGTATTGTGAGAAATTATTAATTGATTTTCAGTTTTTGGGGATTTTTGGTTTGGGAATTTGTAGTTGAGGTTTGATATATTGATTTTTTAGAAATATTGAGGAGAAAAAGGATGGCACAAGTAATGGAAGAAGGGTATAAGCAAATGCCAATTATCACCCCCACTTACCTCATCATTGCCATTATTACAATTATCGATTGCTCCCTCGAGATAATATCACCATATGACTTGTGTTTGTATTGGATGCTTGTACCAAAGCATTACCAAGTCTAGCAAATCGTTATTGTTTTTCAGGGTAGGAGGGATTGGGGTTTGGGGGACGAGGGCTAAAAGATCGATTTGTAAGTTCTGATGAGAGAGAAAATCTTATGGAGAGAATAACAACCCATCATCATCACCTCAACAATGTCATAACTGTTGATGCTACTTGCAACAATGTCGTCGACGAAGCAACCGTCGTTGCTGCAAGTATTGACGGCGGCGCAATGCTTGGCCGCTGTGCACGACGATTCTGCTTCATCGCATACAATGGCATCGTGAATGAGATATGGTAGGGAGGGCCACCCTTAGCATAACCTTCTCTTAAGGCGCGCCACCTACAACCAAAGCCAAAGCTGCGGCAATGCCCTGAATTTGATTCTTTACCGACCAGAAGAAAGAGTAGTAGAGGTGGGTACGTAAAGAGGGGTGATGAAGATAGAGAAAAGGTAGAGAGAGTGATGAAGATAGAGTTTTGAAATGAATTGGGGGTGCGTGGGTGAATCTGTGATGTATGATTGAATTTTTACAATTTAATTACACCCTGATTTGTGAAATGAAAATTAATGCCTCTTATTTTTGAAAACTACTTTTTAAGTGTAGGTTTCTAGGTAATTTTTTCATATAAATACCCTTAGGGTTCATTCGATTGTAAGAATGAAATTTGTATGTAAAGAAAACGAATTCCACAGAATTGAATTGTCTAGAATTTGTTTTACTGAAAATTTTCAATTAAATGTGTTTGATTGGTATAATTTTTCACCTGAAAAATATGAAAATTTGGGATCTTTTCGTGTTTGTTTGCCTTTATTTTTCATGAAAATTGTCAAAAATTTGGGATATTTTGGTATTCGTTTGCCTTTATTTTTCAAGAAAATTGTCAATTAAAGGGATAAAATTTATTACAATTGTGGATAGAATTTATTTCTATTGCAAAAAAAAAAAAAAAATTAAATAAAAAAATTAAACAAAAAATTGAACCTGAAAAAGTGAATTCTCACCAAAATCAAGGAAAATCCAGTCGTGGGCGTAGGGGGAAGGGAAAATCGATTGTCAAAAAAATATTTGTAATCAAAAGAGGAAAAATGCGGAAAATGAACAAATAGGCCTTACTTTGAAAGAGGATTTAAAGTATATAATTACATTAATATCCTCGTTTATATTTCAAATTCTCTCTCTATCCCAAGTTTAGGGTTTTCTTCCAGCACTCTATCCCGGTTTGTTTCTGTAGCCCCGCAAAGGTCTCCGTGGAGCAAACACTAGTTTCAAATTCACTATTTTTCTGAGACTTTTTTCCATTTCCTGCTTAACTTCCTACCATGACTACCGTGGTCCCCACCTCCGAGGAAGATCCCGTTCTCTCCGCCGTCCGTTTCACCGCCGACTTGTCCTGGGCCGACGCTGGTGCCGATGTAATATGTACACACACACGCATATGTTTTTTTACGTATATGAACACTTTATATGTGTATATATCATTTATGTTTGAAATAGTTATTCAAAGGTTTTATTTAAATTCATTGATTTGGCATGAAAAAGTGTGAATTTGTGGTCCTTTGGTGGTGATCTATGGATTTCTATTTGGACCTTGGCATCTAACTGATACGAATTCTTACGTTTGATATTGATAGGTAGCCGAGGAGCAGGTGAGTAGACTGTGTGTGGAGGCACAGGATTGTATGTTACAGAACAGGTGGTTGGATTTAGCCTCACTGATGCTCACCTCGGCTGATATAATTTTCTCCAAAGCGTCCGAGAAAGGTAAAAAAAATTCGGGTCTCTTGTTCCCCATGTTCAATTGTAATTGGGTTACTGAAATTTTCAATAACAGTCTTGCGTCTTAGTGAGAAATTTGTGGCCTTCTAGAATTAAAAGATGCTGATATAATAGAAGCTTCAGGTTTTTCCAGCTTTCATTCAGCTGAAGTGATGATGAAACTTTTGAGCCAGCTGCTCTAGAAAGATGTTGGTAGTTAAATGTTATCCTTTTTTTCCTGCCACCTCGATAAACTATCCAGAATTTTCGTTGACAATACCAAATACGTTGGTTTCCAGTTTTTGAATTATGGGTTGGCTTTTGAATCTCATTCCTTGTATAAGTGAATGATTTCTTCTCATATAATTTATATTATGGTTATGATACTCTTAACTCTTTTGAGCTGCTGTTTGTTAACTTTTGCCCCAGATCTTGAATGTGTTTATACTGTCATTTGCAACCTTGTCAATAAGCCTGAAGGTCTGGGTCAAGTTCACGAGATGGCAGAGCTTATATCTACCAAAGTAACCCAACAGCCAAATGAGAAGCCTGCTCTGCGCTTGAAGATGTAAGGGGCCCTGGTCCTATATATTTTAATTTTTTGAATCTTTTTGCATCTGTGTAATACTTGTTTTTATCCACTTTCAGCATGTTTAACCTCTATAACCTATTGGAAAGCCCATATAGCCGGTTCTTTGTGTACATGAAGGCACTTAATATGGCGGTCAATGGAAAGGTAACCGAACATGTTGTGCCGTCTTTTAAAAAAATGGATGGCTTTTTGAGGGAATGGAATCTTGGAGTTAAGGATCAGAGACAGCTCTTTCTTACAGTTGCCAATATTTTAAAGGAAAATAAAATGTGAGATCTCTATTACATGACTATTGAATTTTTTATTATTATTATTATTATTATTATTATTATTTTTGGCTGAATTATGCAAAAATCAATTTCATAACATGTTTCTTTACCATGTGCTGGAATTTTAGCTCTTCAAAAGATTCTTTCAAATTTCTTGTCAAGTATCTGGCGACTTTCTCCAGTGAAGATGAACTGTCCATGAGTGAAGCAAAGGAAGAAGCAGTCCGTGCCATAGTTGAATTTGTCAAGACACCTGATATGTTTCAGGTATCATTATGAATAGATTTCTTGTAGGTTATCTAATTTCACGTAGTGCTTATAATCAAGCACTTATAGAGTTTGCGAACAGTTATGGAGTTGAATTAGCCCTGGAATTCTGCCCCGACATAGAATCTGCCTCGACATGGAATCAAAACTGAAGTGCCTTTCTGCTTCTCAAATGTTTTGTGTGCTGAATGCTCTTTAAATACAGCTTATTTTATTTGATCTTCCCTGTCCTGAAATTCGTATTTGAGCACATTATTGAACTAATTGAAGTTTATTTTACTTGAGCATCTATGTCCTGAAAATCATATGCAAGTACCTCATTGAACTAGTTGGAATGGACTGCTTGATTGTCCTCATCATGAATTCGCAATAGTTTTGATGCTATTGATATTCATACAATGACAATTAGACTTCATATTTGTCGACTTGGTTGTATTACCAAGGAAGTTGTCATCGTGAAGTTGAGGAGTTTGTGATTCACCATAATTCAGGAGAAATAATAAGCAGACTAGGGTGCATGTTCATAAAAATACATGCCGAAATACAAGATAATGCTGTATCCCCCCCCCCCCAACCCCACCCACTCCTTTCTTGGGCACGTAGTTGGAATGGCAATTTCTATCCCTTTTGATTTGGCTACTCCCTTTTCGATTCCGTAATTTGATGTAAGAAAAGTTCATTAAAGAATGAAACCAGCACTATATAATTCTATATTAGAGCTGATTGTGTTCTGGATAGTTATCCTAGTCTCAATAACAAAATGACCCTTTTGAGTACATCTTATCTCTTAGGACCCCTAGTATTTAGTTTGCTCTTCCTTGCTTATTATGAAAGATAACAATGGAATAGTTTATCTATTTTTATTTTCATCTCTCATAGACAAATAACGTAAATTTTTTTAGCATAAATCAACCTTTCTTAATATCTGCTTTACTGTTGACATGTGCATATTTCTGTTTCAAATTTTAAAAGTTATTTGTCAAGCAGGTTTGGTTAATCATTTGGGTGTTGATTTATAGGCTATAAGATATTTACATCCACTGTGCCTTATATGTTGTTTCTACTGCGTTATAATGACTAATTAATTATCCAGCACCATGTCATTATTGTACCATGCTGTTGTATGGCTTATTGTTTCTTGCCCCGTATTTCTCTTCCTTGGCCTCTTTACTTATACTGTGTCATGATGACTCTTAATTATCCAGTACCATGTCATTATTGTACCTTGCTCTCATATGGCTTTTGTTTCTTGCCCCTTCTTTCTCTTCCTCTTTAATTCTGTGTTTGTGTGCCAGTGTGATTTGCTGGATATGCCTGCTGTAGCACAACTGGAGAAAGATGCTAAATATGCACAGGTGTATCAGCTTATAAATATCTTTTTGACTCAGAGGCTTGATGCATACTTTGACTTCCATACAGCTAATTCTACTTTACTAGAGAGCTACGGTAACCATTTGCTTTTGTGATGTTTGAAACATTGGTTATCGGATGAGTTAAGTTTGATATGGTAGTTTCATTTAATATGCTTGCTGGACATTGCTGTACTGGATCTTGTAGGGCTTGTCCATGAAGACTGCATTGAGAAGATGAGGCTGATGTCGCTTGTAGATCTGGGCAAAAATGAACCTCAAATTCCTTATTCATTGATAAGGGACACACTTCAGGTAGTTTTATTTTTCTTTTTATTCTTTTAAGTAGTCTTTTCGTATTACCTGTTTCCAATGTTAAAAAGGCTTAATTGAGTAACGAGGTATTTGATGCAAGAGGCTCTTTTAGGCATAAGCCTTGAGGCAAACCTATAAAATTACTCATAAAAATATAAAAATACAAAACATCCATTCATAATAAGCTATAACTATCTTAAAGTTTCCATAGTAAAACAAATGAACAAACATAGAAGTTTAACTTGCATTATAAAGTAATAAATTCTGAAATTAGTAATCACCTAGCTAAATTATAATCTACTATTAGAACTGTAAACAACTTAGCTTCCATTTGACAAATTTATAAATAGGAATAGTTAAATGAACAATAGCGGGTCATACGATATGTGGGGATAAAATTTAAAATCAGTGTTTGAATTTGGGTGACATTGTAAACCAATTTAGAAATGTATCGAAAAGGAGGCTGAGAAATGTAATATTATCAGTACTAACACGATCTTTAAGGGAACCATCACCGTCTTCCTCTTTATCGCTAAAAAGTATCTTCTCATTATCCTCCGCTTATAACGGTGTATTCTCCTTTATTTTTCCTTTCTGTATAAGCAGAAAAAAGAATATAGAAGAACCCTACAACATACTGGGTTGTAAAGAAACAACCCGAAAAGCTAAGTCTAGTAGTTGAATAACTTGAGGCAAACATGTACATGCTTGTTAGTTACCTTGAGGTGTAAGCCTCACAAACAACAGTGAAGGTGCTGGATTCGGGGTGTTTTATGGAAACCTCATGTGAGGCGAGATTAGAGGTATAAGCCTCAAATAGTGTTTGAAACGATGCGTGTTTCTTTACATTGATCTTTGGTTTTTTGCAGATTGAAGACAATGAGGTGGAACTATGGGTTGTCAAGGCAATCACGGCTAAGTTAATGGACTGTAAAATTGATCAGATGAACCAAGTAGTTCTCGTGAGGTGTGCAATAGAGCCTTCTCCTCCTCTCTGTTTCCTACAACTAGAGTGTGTTATGTATTTACAATACAAGAGTTGATTTTACTATTTTGGGTGCAGCCGCTGGATAGAGCGTAGGTTCGGGCAGCATCAGTGGCAGGCCCTTCGAATGAAGCTTGCAAGTTGGAGGGTAATGTGTTAATTTATTCATGATGCATGTTTAGCTGAGCTTAAAAAGTCACTTATATAAGCAAGTTTACTTAAACGTAAATAAGCAAGTTTAATAATGAATAATTTTTTAATTAGTGAAAGTGAATATACGTTGCTTATTTTTCATAGTAACCTGAAGGGTTACTTTAAAAATAAGTTACTATTTTACTTAAACGTAACAGAAAAGTAGTAAATCCAAACATGTTTAGAGATAAAAAGTAACTTAAAAGGTGTTTTTGTTTTCCTAAATGTTTAACGATATGTGCTTATGTGAACTGAATAGTCATTTTTACGCCAAGTATACACTTCTTTGTCCTATAATAAAAACCATCCATTGGCATATGAACATGAGCTTGTTGTGATGCCTGGTGGATGTGCTTAATCACTTTCGTGGATAACATATTCAAGAAATTTATTTAAATATCGAATATCTTTGCAGGGTAACATTGCAAATGTGATGAGCACCATTCAAGCTAACAAGATAAGTGAAGATGGCGTTCAGGCAACACAGGGGCTGGCGATTCACTGAGATTTTGTTTTCTAAATTAGCAAATGTTAATGATGGACGGCTCTAGTTCAGAACACTACTCGTATTGGATTGCCTGGCATTGGCAAGTGTTTAATCTTGAAACGAGACCCAACTCAATTCAGCACGTGTTAGAGGAATCATGATTTTTGTCGAAACTAAAAACTAAATTTAATGCATGTATCTTGTCAAATTTGGCCGAAGAGTCCATGAGCCGCGATCTTTTCAATTCTGTTCGTGTTACATGGATGTAATACCCTTTTTTGCCCTTTACCGGACAGGTGATTTGTGTTGGGAGTGAATTTAGTCCCCGTTTGCCCCGTTCTCTTTCTCATTCTGATTCTCTCTCTCTCTCTCTCTCTCTCTCCCTCTTGTTCTTTCTTATTTTCAACTACACAATCTTTCATAAAATAATATTATATGCAAATTAAAATTTTTTCATTTTTTTTCAATAACGTATTATTCAACAAAACACTATTTCTACCATTAAAATTTAGCAAGAATGGGGCCCAAACGGGGGGCTTAAGAATTTTGGGATATGTTTGGACAGTTATGTTTCAGTATTTAAGAATGTACCCTACGCATGGTTGAATTCTTGACCTAGTATACCATGGGTAAACTAAATGTATGTGGGACCCATTGAACTAACGTGGCACGGAAGAATTCAGCATATGGGTTGAGTTAAAGAGCGAATGTAAAGATCTAGCTTGGCACATGGCTCGAACCGAGCCAAGACTTGTGGAGTTCAGCCCCGGAGATCGACCGTGTTGTGGTCGAGAAGTCCGAATTCAAGACGCTATTGAGGTCAAGGTAAATGAGCTTGCATCCGCAGCAAGGGCTAAACTAAGGGTCTGTTTGATATGATTTTTGTTTTTTATAGAAGAGCTTTTGATAGAAATCATTTTAATTTTTGAGCTTTAGGATCTCAAAAACTCTTTTTTAAGTTTTCAAAAGTAATGTCAAACGAACCCTAATCCATCCTAAAAGGTTGAATCCCAATTTTGAGGGTCCCTACTGTCCTGCCCCTGGAGTATCGTGAAAGAGGTAAATCGCGGGATGTGTCTCAATAGGTCAGGGAATAAGAGTTTGTCCGTACAATTGTGTTTACAAAGAGTTCAATTTTACACAAACTCATCTTAGTTAAGACAGAAGGTGGGTGTTGAGCTGGGAGCATGCATTGCTAATGGTCCATATGCAACTACACTTGGTAATGATTTCAAGACGACGTATACGAACTTTTGATATCCGATTACAAAGTGTGAAACTTCTAAAATTCACTATAATTCGGTTATGTAATCTCCCTCTATCTTCTACTGTCATAATCCAAAGTCAATAGGTAAGAGATTCCCTTAATCGTATTTTAGTTATTATTAATATTCGATGTAGGGATTAATGAACTGAAATCTGAAAAGCAAACCGGTTTAATGAACATTTTCTATGAAATCGAAGAGTTTAGTAAATCAGCTAAATTAATGTATAAATATTCATGCCAATTGATGAAGTCAAACAAACCCTAAGTGTGGTTTAATTAACATATAATTATCCAAGTGTGGTTTAATTAACATATAATATAAATATCTAAGTGTGGTTTAATGAACATATATTCACGCTACAAGCTTGTAATCAAACAAATTCTAGTTTTAAACTTATTTATACGAAATTATTAATTAAATGTATTTGATTGACTTAATTTTCAATTTAGAACGCATTTCTGAAAACTGTGAATTGCCTAGAAAATAATAATCAACCTCCTAAAGAAAAGTTTATTTATAGTTTGTACAACCCTTGTTTGTGTCTCATTCTTCTAATAATTCATTTTTTCAAAACTCATTTTCAACTATATATTTTTCAATAAAATAATATTATACGTAAATCAAAAACTTTTTTTTTCATTTTTAATCACACATTCTCCATCAATCACTATTTAAAAATACATTAATTCTATCAAAATGAGGCTCAAACAAGGGCTGTACTTTTCTTTAGAATATAAATCTAACAATGAATAAAAGTTAGGATCTTTAATACAATTAAACGTGAGGTAATGCCCATGCTTGATAGATTTTTTTTAGGAAAGAATGTGTTTTTAAATAGTAAATTTTAGGAGAATGTGAAGTTAAAATGTAAGGAAATGTTTTGAGTTTATGTGAAAATAAATTATTGTGAAAATTTTTGATTGAAAATGAATATATAGAAAAAAAAGGTTTTGAACAATCATGCTTCGTGTACGATCATGGATGACAATCTTGTGGACAACATGTCTCGTGGCAATTTGAAATCCAACTTATTTTGGTTAACGGGTTTTCGTTTGGACAACTCATACATTGTCATTACTAATTGTACAAATGGATTAATCCTTGAAATAAAGCCGGTGTAAAATTGTGGTTTAATTATAAAAAAAATGTGCAAATATATAATCAGGGCTTGTTTAGCAATGATTTTGAGAATTGATTTTTTGATCATTATGGAGAAAAGTGGGAGCCACATGTGAGTGAAAAAGTCAATAATAACCGATGAAATAGTGAAATAATGATAAAAAAATCAAATTTTTGGAGTAAAAAAGCACTGTCCAACGGGGCTTAATTTTTAAAAGATAAAAAAATAAAAATAAAAATAAATTGAAACTTGAAAGTAATGAGCAATGAGCATAAATTAGAAGAGTATTAGGTTGTTGAAGAGTGATGCGCGTAAAGATGAGCAGCGGCAGCAGGAAAGGTCCGCCCAAGCACCAAAACGAGTACGCCTGGAAACCCAACGGTTCCCGCAAGATCAATCCAACTGTATTCAAGATCTCCTCAAAATTTCATTTTTAGTTAAATAATTCTCTGTATTGAATGATTTTCGACACTTTGGTAGTCAATTTCTTTCTCCGACCCTTTACTGCCCGACGTGAGAATGGAGAGCTAATGGGTTCTGATTGGTTGATGACAGGAAGTAGGGGGGAAATTGAGGCCGTATTCAGAAGTAACTGGGGTATGCCTGCGCTGTAAAGAACAGATTGAATGGAAACGGAAATACGGAAAATACAAGCCCCTTACCGAACCCGCCAAATGGTATCGTACTCTTTAGTTTTGTGATTTATGGAATATGATTAATTAGTTGTATATGTCTATATTTTTGCTGTGTAATTAATTTTTTAGAAATAAATTTGGATTATTTGTAGCCAGCGGTGTTCCAAGAGGAATGTTCGCCAAGCTTACCACAATCTCTGCAATGGTTAGTATTCAAACTCAAAATTTCTTGAATGTTCATTAATTATTACTTGAGAAATTTTGATTTAAAATTGAATGCTAAATTTTTAATTTTTTATAAAATTAAATAGATTTTTCCTAAGTTGTTGATTTATGAATGAATGATGTAAATAGGCTGTGCAAAGGAGCATAGCATATGTGCCAAGTGCTCATGTCGTGTTGGCAACATCGTTGGAAGGTATACCCTTTTTTGTATGTTCTGATTTTGATTGTGCTTATTGTCAAGATCAAACTAAATCCATCAAGAAAAACAAGACTGAATTGAATTATGAGTATATTGATTTGAAGTACTAAATCAATGTTATTCTGTTTGCCGGTATTTGCCTTTCTTGCAGAGACATTTCAGAAATAGAAGCTGAGCAGAAGAAACTTGAGGAGGTTACTATATGTCTAATAAATGAGTGCCTTTCTTCTTTTTCCCTTTTACTTTGGCTTTTGATAAAGGATTTATGATAACCTGTTGAATTGCTGATTGCTCACAGGCTATCAAGAATGCACGGGAGAGGGACAGGAGGACTTTGCTGCGCACTGTAAGTCTGCATTTCTCTTTTAACTTTGTGAAATTTTGATTCTTTGTATTTTTAATTTTTCTTGGTGGTGGTTTTTGTCTGTTTGGAGGTGGGGATAATGGTACCAAGAACCAAAAGATATTAATTAATAATATGGGATGTAAATAGATAGTGTAAACGATTTGTTAGTAAATTTCATCATGTTCATGGAGAGCGACATGCTTTGGAAGAAGCTTTTACTGTCTGAGAAGAAGTTTTGATAGATGATGATGATGATGATGATGATGATAAATCCTACAAGCAATACTCCCATCCCTCACATCCAAAAAAATGTAAAATAAAATTAAGTATTACTCACTCTTCTTTTGCTCTCTGATCTTGCTATGTCACCCGCTGCGAAAAAATTTAAACAGGCATATCCCTCATGCCACATCATAACCCATGTGAACATCATACTTGCAAAGAAAATGGATAGCGACCATCTCTACTGAGAAGATCCTAATAGTCGCCATGTGGTCTCTACCACCCTCAAACCACTGATTCCTATCAAGCTAGTGATCATGATCGCTGAACTTTTCGACTATGTAACACCATCTCCTAAAAGACTTGATAATGTCTGGAAGTATGGACATGAGTTCATAGTCATTCAATCTAAATGCTATTTGAAGAACGTAACCCACATGATGGTATGGGAAGACTTAGGATAGCTAGCATTATTATCTCGTATTGACACTGCCACCATTAGCATCCACTTGTAGTCACCTGAAATTTGTTACTCCCGAACAACTATTTCCTCATTTTCTTTCTCCTTTGGACTCTAAGAAAACTCGTGCTGATTAAAAATTCCATAAATTCATTTGTAAAGTACTCTCAAAAAGGTTAAACAATGCTTACTTTAAGCAGGGATAAAATTCAAGTAGCAGAAAATGCTAGATTGAGAGAGAGAGAATATTTGGTTATTGCAGTGCACTTTAAGAAGCTTAAGGTGTTCATTATGTTACAAATCACATCTTTGGGTCAAGCAGAAGTCTGAGTTCTATGTTATGTATGGATCTGCCTAAGGGCATGTTGTTGAAATAGATTCTTCTTGTTAATCTTCAAAACCCCTTCCTCACCAGTACAAGCTTCTTCCATAGCTTTCTGGATATAGATGATGATATCTGGTGAATTTCTACCGTATGGTATATGACAGAGAGAATCTATTGACAAAAGGGGTAGTGCATATGAATGTTTGTTGGGGCATGTGGATGGTGAAGAAGAGATGAAAGACAACATGAGATTGTTGACGTGCAAATCTGTGGATTTTGTCCTCGTGAGGAAAATTCTAAGACGGTGAAACAAGGTGAGGCTGTAGTACAAAAAATCTACGAGTATTAGTCTATATTACATGTTATTTTATTTTGATGTAGTTGATTTCTTTTTTGATGAGGCCAAACAGATTAATATAAGTCAAAATAGAAAAACTAAAGGAGATTAACTGTCAATAAGAGAGGGAAGGGAAGAAGAAGACCAAAGGAGGAGAGGAAGATCAATGGTGGAACGTAAAAGCTGGTCATAATCATGGGGAAAGTTTAAATATTATTAAGCACATTGGTTGAATGTTTATATGCACCTCTCATTGCTTGCTTACTATTACTTTGTGTTGCTGATCTGCGACTAGTTTCCAACAACGCGATTCTATGACTCTATTTTTCTGTACTCTGGAATTATTATGCTTAATTGCTCTCCATGCAACAGATGAACAAAGGAAATCCTCGCATCTCAAAGAAATCACCAGCGAATGACAATGGTGAGGATGGTGAGGCGGGTGAAGCATCATTGGAGGAACATGAAGAGTTTACAGGGAATAGCGAGGACAATGATACTGATGAAGATGAGGCTGAAGTCGCTTGTTCTGATGAGATTTCAGAATAACCTTTTAATTAATGGAACTTTAAGGGCATGTTACTAGACGGGTCTGGACATCTCATAGGACAAGATTTAGCTTCGTATTTATTCATTAATTGTATCTTGTCCTCTTTATCAAACAAGCTATAAGCGGATTGTGTTTTCATTTTACTGAGATACCGACCATTGCTTTCTTGTTAACAAATTTTGTGAAATCGTTGAAATAGTTAAGGATTTGGTTTCTATAATAGGTTTAAATTGAGCTAGGCCTTCTCTTCCTCCAGCGTTTGAATGAGATTAATATTTTGTTATTTTTATTTTCGTGTCAACATTTTCTTTGGAATGAACATTGGTTCATGTGTGACTAGAAAGCTCGTTCAATACATTTTATTTAGTATCCTTTAATTTAGAAAGTTAGCAGAAGCAAGGATGTTAAAATAGATGTGACTTGTCCTAATCTCGAGTTTAAAAACTTCACACTGCACATAATTGTCCACTAGGGCCAAGAGATCAATTTTAGTATAACTATATGACGTGAATAGAACTAGACATGTCAAGATGTGTAATGGATGCTGGCCTGTGCCATACGACCTCTACAGCTGGGCCGTGCAGGACACTACTGGAAACATCGAAAACGAAAAAAAGGAAAAGAAAAGAACCCTCACACACACAAAAGAAGGGCAAATCAGCCTGGCAACAGACGATATTAGCAGGCAAAATTCATATTGTTTCCAAAATAATTTCCTGCTAGGGGTTTTAGAAACCTTAAGTCCACAAGATTAAAAAATGTAACTACAAATCTAGGGGGCAATAAAAACATGTAGAAGTATAGAGATCTAAGTGCTGGCAGTGGAGTATGAGTAAAGAAACCCCATCTCACTTTCAGGGTCAAACATTACAAGAAAGAAAGTTAAGGAAGCTACATGTTCATGTAATATGGAGAATGCAACACAGAAAACCATCAAAAAAATGCAGAAACAGAGCATTCTTAGTCCTCCCAAATGTATCCCGGGAGGCCTTCGAACGATACTTTGTTTTCTTCTCTTTTCTAGTCTGTTCGTACTAATCGTCTACACTTCTCATATCTCGTACGCGGACTTCGTGTTCCCTTCTTTCGGCACTGAATCCAATGATCGGATTGTTTTACCTCATCACATCGAAAATCAGATCTCTCATATGCAATCCCAGTTCGGAATTCTGTTAGAGCAGCTACATACTGAGGGGTCTGAATCTAAAATTCTTGTGAAATTTTCAGATCAAGTACTTAAAATTGCCGTGTCACTGGACAGGCTTGCTGAAAGTCTTTCGCGTCATTACAGCAATGCCCCGGCTGATGGAAAGGACATAACTAATGTGGATGAATATTTGAGCAAGCCTGAGGAAGATGAAGTCGAAGAAGAATCGCTACATGGCAGGGTCTTTAAATCTGCAGAGCTTCAAAACTACACTTCGCCTAAATTAAACAGGCCTAGTGGAAAGAAGAATTTTCTTGGCTTGGAATCAGTTTATCCATCTATTGGACAAGGTTGTGCTCGACTGGCCTCGAACCTAGACCGTTTCATGACTTACAAGGCATATGATAGTTGCCCTGATGATTGGCACTTGGCTCAGAAGCTTATGATCAGTGGTTGTGATCCATTACCAAGAAGGAGGTGTTTTTCAAGAACACCACCGCGATATGATAAGCCACGTCCTTTAAACTCCTCTCTCTGGACTCAGCCTCTGGATGTTGACATTTCCTGGAGCCGTTACAAATGCAAGAACTACTGGTGTCTTGTATCCAATGAAACGATAAAAAATAGAGGCTTTTATAAATGCTCCGACTGCTTTAATCTTACTAAAGGAGGATGGGATGTTCAAAGGGACAAAGACATTTCCGCAGAATTCTCCATCGATGAAATCCTGATGTTAAAACCCGGGGAAATTCGAATTGGCCTGGATTTTAGTCCCACAACTGGTACTTTTGCTGCACTAATGAAGGAAAAAAATGTCACCATTGCTTCTGCTACGATGAATTTAGGAGCCCCTTTTAATGAAGTGATTGCATCAAGAGGCCTTTTGCCACTGTACTTATCAATTGGCTCAAGATTGCCTTTCTTTGACAATACCTTGGATATTGTTCATTCTACTCTCTTCTTGGATGGATGGATTGGGATAGAACTTCTTCAGTTTGTTTTGCTCGACTGGGATCGAGTTCTTCGACCCAAGGGACTTCTTTACGTTGACCGTTTCTTTTGCAAGAAAGAAAACATGAAAATGTATATAGATGAATTCAACAGAATCGGGTACAAAAGGCTATTGTGGAAAGTTGTGCCGAAGATGGATAAACTAGACGATGAACTCTTTCTTTCAGCTGTCCTGGAAAAACCAGTTAGAGGTTAAATTTTATTAAGATGTAAGATGAAATATCTGTGAAAAAAAAGTTTTCATTTTCATTTCCAATTTGGAAAGCCCTTTGTCTCTCTTATAAAAAGGCCATAGGACTGATTTCATCTAGATCAGACTATCAATTCAGAATTCACAACATAAATAGAAGTAGCTTGTGAAGATTGTTTACAAGGATTATGTCTGTCAACTAGTCTTCTAATTCAACATTGCTTGTTAGCTAGCATAAAAACTTGGCATGAATACTAGTACACATTAGACGAGGTATCTCATATAGTTTTAGGTGCACAAATTTGAACATTGGTGGTCATTTCATAAGGTGAATTGTACAGTATTGAAAAAGTAAAATGAAGCTAAAATCCTTTTAATATTTGAGATGTTGCTAGGACTACTGGATATATAGAACCACTGAGTATCTCAGTTCTTTGTCTTCAAAATTTCCAATACTATCAAAACTTGAAAACTCATCACCACATTACAACGGCAAACAGAAGTACAAAACAAAACAATGTTGAGATAGAAACTCGATTTGGATGAGCGGAATTTGGTAGAAACGGATAAGTATCCGGTGGTGGCAGCATGCATTCTTCACCGTTGAAATAGACTTTCCGGGGGAACGCCCATCCTTGCTTGAGGGAGAAGGTGTTCTTGTCCTTCTGCATAAGAACTTCTGACTGCACGTTCCCAGACGGCCCAGCTTCCATCAGCAGGTCATTGTAGAATTTCATTCCATAAAACATTCCGGTGTCATCTGCACATATCAGATGTACATGTTATTAGTGCATGTTCATGTATTGTCTTAACGAATATTTCTCAGACGAGTTTATAAACTTACTGATGGATGAGTAGGGAAGCAGAGGCTTGTAATCGAAGCTGAAAACTTGAGTCACATTGTTCAGATTTGGATGCTGTACAACAAGAGTCCATTGTGTGTAGTTCATTCTATAGTTAAAATTAGTTATCGCTATCTTCACGCGCCAGTAGTCCTTGTAATTGACCTTAACGTGCCAATGCACCCGGATTGGGCACATATGGTGCGTGCACTGTAAAAGAGGCGTGTTATCTTTTCTTGGAGTGTTTATCCCGACCATTCTAAGAAGTTTTGAATCGCTCCTGCATATGTAGTTACCAGTTATTTGACTCATTTTACATGAAAAAAATATATAAAAATTGGTATGATAAATAAAAATAGTTGCTTACTTGATGCATTTGTTTTTGTTTTCGCAGCCACAAGCACAAGAAGGGCAAGAAGTGATTGTTTCATTGTAGAATGACGAAAATGAGACACAACAGCTGGGATGTTTCCGGGCTAGAAACTGCGAATAGGTACATGTCACATTCCATGTCACTGCATTGAATCCAAGTATTAACAAACTAGAGCTCAATCAAGAAAATTTGAAATCTTCGAAGACTGATTGAAATACTGTTAAAGAAGAAAAAGAAGCTAAATTTTGTATATTATAGGGTTACTGTTAGTCACCTAACTTATTCTGTTGCTTCACTTTGGTTACTAAACTTATTATTATTCAAAATAAGTTGATGAACTTTCATTCTGGTTTCTGGTCAGGTACTCAAATCTACTGGATTAAGAGAAATATTGATCATAATAAACAAAAATATAACATAGAATGGAAAAAGTTTAAGCATTGTTTTTATCGCGCAGCCTGGCAAAATTTGTTAATATTTCTGTAATTTTGTTGGCAAAATGCAATTTAAGTTAATTCAGTGGTATGTCTAAAGTGAAAGGAAAACGAAGTCCAGTGACTAATTTTGAACAAAGAAAATGTTCGGTGACCGAATTGGAACACTGCCGGTGGACTAACAACGCTTTTCAACCATAAATTATAACATCTAGTCATATTTAATACTGCGTACCAAACATGTCAGTATATAAAAAAAGACTTACTCAGGGCCTGAGTCTTCCTGCGCCGATCAGGTGTGAGGAAATTGGTTGAAGGCACAACTTTGGCAGGACCACAAGTGTAGCCTGGTCCAGGACCTAACAAGGTGAAGTTCTTGGGAAGCTTTACAGTCTTGTTCGAGGTACCGGCTTGGCCAACACTAACTTGGAAGGCCGAGATGGAAGCCTGTGGATCTTGGCCCCAAGACGACATGACTCCACCTTTGCAGCAGTTGCTGAATTGCTGATTGTAAGGAACACCAGGGAGCAAGTCCACCACGGTTGGAGTCTTTTTGCAACAATGTGGTATGTTAGCTTTGAATTTGGAACAGTCCCCTTGTTCTGTGGTCTGTGCCCCAACCATGGACCATATTACTTCTTTCTTAGCCCATGTCCAGCCCAGGGTCCACCCCGGGCTCATGATGTGCCGGTACATTTGGAAATTGTTCATCGTCACTACAGCCTAGGAAAAAAGTATTTCATGAACATTATTGTGATCTTTTCAATTAAATCGAACTCTATGTTCGCCTTGATCTCTTTGTATTGGGAATTGAAGAAGTTTAGAAGGATTTGTATACATAATTTAGTACTTACCACATAACCATCTGGTGTCCAGGACATTACATCCCATTTGATTGTTATGTTCCCATTTGGATCCAAAGGATCATAGGCAGCTGCAGCAACCAAAAAATAAACTAGTAGTAAAAGTTTTAACACAAAAATAAGCAGAATTAGTGATCCAAAATGAGTTTGATCAAGAATATAAGTTTACCTGCACAAGAAAGAAGTACACATAAGAACCAAGCGGTAATAAGAAATCTCATTTTCCTCAAATAATGTTCTCAAAGTTTCAAGCATATGTTGAATAAGAATGACAATAATTTGAAGTAATATTATGTCGAAACTTTGTGTTTTCTAACGAGAAAAATGTGTGTAGAGTCGAGGGTTCTGGAGAATTTGAGATGTTCTACCTACTGGTAG